GGTGTTCCCCCCCCCCCCCCAAAAAAATTAATACAGGGCCATGTATGGTGGTGCATGCCTTTAATCCTAGCACTCGAGAGTCATAGGCCTCTAACCCTAGCTCAGGGCCTGCCAGGGTTACCCAGTGAGACCTTGTCTTTAAAAAAAAAAGATGAAATACAAGTGATCTATAAGCACATAAAAAAGGTTTAACCTCAATGGCCATCAGAGAAATAAAAATTAAAATGACACTGGATTCTGTCTTACCCTAGTCAGAATAGCAGTCATTAAGAAAACATTACAGCTGATGGCAAGGATGTGGATAAAGGGAACCTTACACTGCTGGTGGGAATGTAAACTGATCCAGCTGCCATGGAAACCAGTATTATAAGATTCTAAAAAAAAAACTTAAAAAAGCTGGACATAAGCCAGGCATGGTGGCGCATGCCTTAATCCCAGCACTCGGGAGGCAGAGGCTAGAGGATCTTTGTGAGTTCAAGACCAGCCTGGTCTACATAGCAGGCCAGCTGGGGATACAGGGAGACCCTGTCTCAAAAAAAGACCAAAAAAAAAAAAAAGGCATGTTAGTGCATGCCTTTAAGCCCAGCACTTAGGAGGCAAAGGCAAGCAGATCTTTGTAAGTTTGAAGTCAGCCTGGTCTACACACCAAGTTCCAGGTCAGCCAAGGCTATACAATGAGACCCTGTCTCAAAAACTGAAGCCAAACCCAAACAAAACCAAACCAAACCAAAACAAAAAACACCCCCAAACAAACAAGCAAAACCCTAAAAACAAGATTTACTACCACATGACCCAACAACATCACTGGGTATTAACCCAAAGGACTCCAAATCAACACATCACAGAGATACACAGCAATATTTAGAGCAGCACTACTTATGACAGATATATTATGGAACGAATATAAGTATTTAACAACAGAGGAGATGAGTTAGTTAATTTGTGAGTGCCAGTCACTTATGCTGGCAAGTTAACAATATTTTCTTCCTAGCTAGGGAAGGAAAAGACAGATGTAAATTGCAGCAAAATCCCAACTAATGCCTGGGAAGTGAGCAAGGGAGGGCAGTGGGACTAGCATGACCCTTTTAGGCAAACCAGGGCACAGAGCAAAGTTGTTTAGACACCTGGAATCTAAAGTGGCTGTTACAAGGTATGGTCATTTCTGCCATGTCCTATTGGTTTAACAGATCACTATGTCCACCAGCAAATCAAGAGAAGGCAGAGTCAGTTTCTTCAATGGAGTGGCAAAGAACTTGTCACCATTCTCATTCCATCATTCCACCTCACCCAGTCCTCAGCAAAGCCCCCTGGTTCCTGTCTCCAGATTCTCAGTGTCACAGAGTAGAAAAAGCAAGGGCTCTGGGGGCCACAGCCCTATACATTGCTTCAGGCAAAGCAGACCATTCAGCAACCGGTTGAACCTGATTAGTTACTTAATTCTTTAGGGCCCAGATTTCTTATAAGTAAAATGGTATGTCTCACAGAATCCACAAGAGATTGGTTCTAAGACTCCCCCAATTGCTCAACTCTCTTACAGAAAATGGCCCAGCAGGGCTGGCTTGCTGACTGGTAGGGTGTGCATGACCTGGGGTCAATCCCTAGCATTGTATAAACTGGGCATGTTGACACACACCTGGAATCCCAGAACTCTGCAGGTGGAGGAGAGAGGTTCAGAAGTCAAAGGTCAGCCTCCCACTTACGGAGTTGTAGGTCAGGAAAGTACAAGCAAGCAAGCAAGCAAGAAAGGAAACAAAAGAAAATGGTATAGTAAAAAACAAAATTTAAAAAGGGACATGGCATAGTTTGCATAGAACCTATACACGTCTTCCCTTATACTTTAAATCATTCCTAGATTACTTAGAATTCCTAATACAATGTAAATGCTCTATAAATAGTCATTATATTGCCTCATTTAAGGGATTAATGACAAGAAATTAAGCATATTCAGTACAGATGCAACAGTGAATATTTTCTTTCTTTTGGAGACAGAGTCTCCCTATGTAGAGCGGGCTGTCCTCCAATGCCAAGCTTATGTTTTTTGTCATGGCTGGTTGAACCCTTAACGATAAGGAGAGCAGACTGGCCAGGAAAATGAACTTCCCATATCTTCCCCTATAGATGGTGTAAATGACCGGGCTCTGTCTCGTCTGTGGAGCACTGCTGAAATCTATCCATGGATGTTTATCCCCTGGTTGATGAAGAAGATCTTGAGGCTGCTCCCAGCCCATGACTAAGCCCAGCAGGGATATTATAGCAGGCCTCTGTCTCTGATGTCAGAATTTGGGGACATGCCAATTTGGCTCAAGGACCACCCTTCTCCCATGGCTTTGCTGAACTTGCTAGACATCAGTGTAGTGTCTGGCACTGTCCACACAACTAGCCTTCCTTCCTTGCCTCTTCCCATTACAGAAATCACACATGCATCCCAGTTCCAGTGTGCCCTCATAAATCTGTGCAGTACTTTTCTCAGCATCAGCTCTGAAGACTGGGACAACCAAGCCTTAATCCTAGGGCTGCTGTGGGTATTAACCAGCCTGGGAAGCACTAGGAAAGGCGTGGCATGGAACAAACCCTTCTTCAACTAACATTTACTGAGTCGTTACTGTGCGCACACCCTGGTGTGGGTGCCTGGGCATAATGGTGAGCAAAGCAGACAACAGACACCTGTTCTCGCTGACTCCCTTCTGCAGGAAACAAAGAGCCTTTCTAATCAGATCTCCGAGGGTTAGACATCCTCAACTCCATCCCCTACACACTTGAGCCTAGTCAACTAGTCAATAGGAGAGTTTTGCCTTCACTCCCAACACCTTTGTCTTAATACCTGTGAAACTACCCCCACCCCCGGCCTCCCGGTTCTTACACATCCTAAGTCAACTGGGCAGAGCTCTCAGGCTTGCTGGTTGCATTAGAACTCGTTATTCTGTGCTAAAATTTCTGTGACTGCATCCTAACCCCGGAGCTCCCCTAGAACAAGGGGAATGTCAGGTCCTTCGTCCCCAGGGCTTGGCCCTCAGCACGTATCTATCAAAGCAATAAAGCGGATGAGCGAGCCGAGAACGACCATTTCGGTTCCCGGGAGGTCCGCGGGGCCTGCGGCGGGAGGGCGCGGGCGTTGCGCGGGGTGGCCGGGGCACCCGCGGCTGCTGGCGCGGGCCGAATCGCAGCCGCGGCTGCAGGGCACATGACTGGAGGCCTCCGCCCCGCCCCGCCCGCTTCCCTGCGCAGTCGCCCGGGCTGCAGGCAAACCCCACCGACAGAGCTCTGCTCTCCCTCCACCTCCCCAGTTACTCCAGCCTAGGAAAGCGAAACCCAACCGGCTCCTTCACCCGCGATTGCGGAGCTCCGAGTCCAGAGCTGCGCGCCTAGCCCGGCACCGGGAGGGCGCGGGAGCCGCCGGCCCCGGGGCTTTGGGAGGCTGCTGCGCGGCCCTAGCGGCTGCTCCTTCCCACTAGAGTCTCTGGCTGGAGAGGCCGGGTTCGGCCCTGAAACGCGCGCAGCATGGGCAGATGCTGCTTCTACACGGCGGGAACTCTGTCCCTGCTGTTGCTGGTGACCAGTGTCACGCTGCTAGTGGCTCGGGTCTTCCAGAAGGCGGTGGACCAGACGATCGAGAAGGTGAGGTGGGCCAGGCTTGTGTGTGTGTGTGTGTGTGTGTGTGTGTGTGTGTGTGTGTGTCTCGTTTGTCCCTCCCCCCCCCCCTGTGTGCGCTCTTGTGTGTGTGTGTGTGTGTGTGTGTGTGTGTGTGTGTGTGTGTCTCGTATGTCCCTGCCACCCTCCTACTGTGGACCCTGTTGGGGAGCCCTGCACTGGCGCAGCCCCTGCAGTCCGGAGCCCTCCTTCCCTCCTCGTCTTCCTTGGATTGGTTAGGATGGGAAGGCCTGGAGATGAATACTCCCTTGAAGTAACCAGCAAGCCTACAGACCTTGACTTATTAAAATGCCTTTCATTTACTTTCTTCCATTTGCCTTTCTCCCCATCCCAATCTCGGTTGAACCCCCCCACCCCCACCCCCGACTTCGTAAGGAAATGGAAACACATGAAAGCCACCGCAGCAGACGTAGGTTTTCTTGGACGTCCGCCCAGCCTTTGAAGCGGTGTAGGGCTGGGGTTGAGAAGTGGGTGGGAGGTCTATTGTGTTCCTGCCTTCCTGGGCCGGTAGGGCGGCAGGTGAACAGGTCAGGCTTTTGGACTGGGTGATATTTGATCCAGCGCAGTCTTGGTTAGCACCGTGTTGTGCACCAACAGCCTGTTCCCACCTTCCACCTTCCTAGTCTCAGCCATTACCTGGGTGCCTTTAGGTCCCCCAAAGAATCTGGACCTGCCTTCCCCGGGAGATGATCGGGGTTGCAGAGCTGGTCATGTAGACAAGTTCTTCATCCTCAGACTCCCCTAGTCCTTCCTTTCTCCTGCCCTTTCACCCACATCCACCAAGCCCTGTGGAAGGAGGAACAGGAGAGAATTACTGGGATCACTTTTTCCTGTGAAAATAAATAAGTCAGGGATTTAGCCTTTCTCCTTAGCACTAGGTACAAAAGCCCAGGCCTGGCAGACTTAGAGTCACTGTATTCCTGGCTAGGAAACTTAGTTACCTTATGCCAAGTGGCAACAGTTCAAGTTCCCAAATGGAAGTCTCCAAAAGTAACCAGTTACTTGGAATATGGCAATTAAAGATAACTTTAAAAAATAGCAAGGCAAAGCTTCATTGATGTTTTAAGGAATTCACATTGCCAAGGGAAGACCAGGCCCACTGTCTGAGCCTTCTCAAAGACCATTGTTGCTCTGAGCACATGTGCTAGAGGGAAAGTAAACAGAATCTTTACTCCCCACATCCAAATCTGTGGTGAATCTTAGATTCTCACTTGGTGATTTGAGTTAAGTTATGCAACAGTCAATATGTGAACTTTCTTGTATGACTTTAAGAGGCTGCTTTAGGGGCATCAGATTCTCTACAATGTCTAATTTCATCCAGGAAGTGGTAGTTGGGGAAGCAGCTTCATATGAGGGGTCTGAGTGATGCTGATCTTTACAAGTGGTTTTCTCCATAGGGAATGGCCTCTGACTGATAAGTTACAGTACAAGGGACTTTCAGAGCCTCCCAAACCCAGGTACTGACCAGTGCACTAAGTGGTGTCTGACAGGAAAGAACTGGGTTAGTTTTGGCAGATAGATTTGCCGATATGCCAACCAAAGGTCATGAAATGCACTTTCCTTGTAATCTGTAGAGTCTCCGTGTTACTTAACCTTGCTTTCTTTTAATTTTCCTTTTGAGGCAGGATGTCTCACTAGGTAGCCCAAGCTGGATTTGAACTCACAGCTCTGTTGTGATCACAAGCCTGTACCACCATGCCTGACTCTCTTTAATCTTTTTTTTTGGCAGGGGGGCCCTGGGTCTCTAGCCCACCTGGCCTCAAACTCACTACATAGCTGAGGATGTCCTTGGCGTCCTGATCCTCTTGCCTCCACCTCTTGAGTGCTAGGATTACAGGTATATTCCACTACACCAAATTTATGTGGTGCTGTAATCAAACCAGGGTTTTGTGCATTTTAGGAAAGCACTCTACAGCCCTAGCGCATAAATTTTTTTGATTCATGTTTCTCTGTCTTAAGTGTGGATAATAATGACTAAGGTATATAGAAATAGTATAAGAATTGCTAAGCAAAGGTAAGGTTTTTCCAGGGATATAGTTAGTGTTTAATAATGATAGCAATTTTATTTTTGGGTTTTTGGATTTTTTTTTTTAAAAAAAAATTTAATTATATGTGTGTGTGTGTGTCAGTGTATAGGTATGTATATATGAGTGCTATGCTCTTGGAAGCCAGAAGAGGGTGTTAGATCTATTGGAACTAGAGTTACAGGCTGTTGTGAACCACCCGACATGGGTACTGGGAACCAGATTCTAGTCCTCTGCAAGAATAGAAGTGCTCTTTACTGAGTCATCTCTCCAGTCTAGCAGTTTATTCTCACTGAGACACCACTCAGTGAGATTAGGAGTCAGACACTTTGTGTTCAGATCCTAAATGTGCCATTTTCAAGCTTTGACCTTGGGCAAGTTACTTAAGTTCTCTGAGCCTCAATTTCATTACCTGTAAAAGTGAGGATGGGAAACTTTAGCCATGTTGGGCATGATGGTGCATGAAGCTCATGACGCTTAAGCTTTGTGTCCCTCACTTGCATAAGCCCTTCCAAAGCACTGTGTTTAATTCTGTGTCCAAACCTTTCCTTCTAGAAAGGGGCCCTCAAATAGCATAAGCTTCAGGACCCATAGAACCTGAATCTGCCTCTACTTGTGTACTGTTGTGGGACTAAGTGTGAGCATTTAGACATCGAGGTCCAGGTATTCAGCGTGTGGCAGCCATCATTTCCATTACTATGACTGTGCAACAATTTGTTAATAAGTTGACTTAGTGTATTTGTAAGATAATCCACTCTATGCTGCCAGTTCTTACTGTTTTTATTGGAAGATTGCCTGAGCCCAGCTTGTGTATACCATCAAAAAGAGGAGGAAGAAAAGGGGTGAGATTCAAATGTGTACACTTGGCCAGTCATGGGAAGTTCAGTAAAATAATTGTTCTAAGAATTTATCTCAGGACAGAGAGGTGGCTCAGTGGTTAAGAGCACTGGCTACTCTTGCAGAGGACCAAAGTTCAATCCCCAAGCACTCACATAGTGGCTAACAACTGTCTAAAACCTCAGTTCCAGGGGATCTGACTCCCTTCTCTGACCTCCACAGGCCTCGCATGCATGTGGTGCACTTGCATAAAGGTAAGCAAAACACACATACACATAAAAAACAAATTAATTTAAAATTTTAAAATAAAAAGAATTTATCTTAGGGCTAGGGGGATGGCTTAGCTGGTAAAATGCTTGCCACACAAACAAGAGGACCTGAGTTCAGGTCCCATTTGAAAAGCCAGATTGAGCTGCGTGTACCTGTTACCCCAGTGCTGGAGAAACAGAAGCAAGATCTCCAGGGCTTCTAGCCAGCCAGTCTAGCCAACTGGTGAATTCTAGGTTCAGTGAGAGACCCTGTCTCAAAAAATAAATAAATAAATAAAAATAAATAAATAAAGTGGAGTGAAAGGTTTCAGAGGGGGCTCTTTAGGAGGATACTGAGACAGATTACTGGGTAATGAATTAATGCATGTTCAGAGAGGTAACATCATGGCTGGTGCTCTGAACAGAATTCAGACCCTAGAGCACCAGAGATGGACAGCATGGTGGGGCTCTGAAGAGAGGAATCAGAGCCCATGTGGCAGAAGTGGGCTCTGTTTTTACACCTTTCTGAAGAAGGGAGAGGTTAAGGGGGTGGGGAGCAGAATATGTAGCCACCAATACCCCCTATGATGTCAACTGACTTCCCAGGTAAAAGTCACTGGCTCTGGGAAGTCTGTTAGCTAGGGACTCAGAGACTCAATGGGGGGATTGGGGTACTGGGGGACAGGGAGGGACTGCTACAAAATATTGTGACCTGAGCCACAGCTGGATTCTAACATTGCTTCCTTATATGAAGAAGCAATTGAAGAAGACACCCATACATGTGCAAACACAACCGCAATCTCATATCCACACACAGCTGCACACACATGTAAACATATACACAACACAGGGGAAAAAATAAAGGAAAAAGAATTTATCTCAAGTAATCTTTGTCCTTGAGCTCTTGAGTGACCAGAGTAGATTGAAGTGAGACTCTTATTCGGATCACTGAAATTAGTGGAAGGAACTGTTACTAGAATCAAGTGTCCTGGCTGTCTGCTACTTGACAGGAACAAAATTTAGAGATAAGAGTTAGTAGAAAGTAATCAAGTTTATTCAAAGCCAGCCTTGAAGAAGTTAGGGGGGCTAGCTCCTTAGAGGTCTATCTCGGAGGCTTTTATGGGAAGGAAAGGAGGTGTGGCAAAGGCAGCAGGCTGGGCAGGGTCTTTATCAGGTAGGTCCTGGGTCTTCTCTAGAACTTACCAGTAGATCTTGGATCTTGATCTCCTGCTGCAAATCAAAGAAAGATCTTGCAGTTAACCACCTTAACCATATTCATGGGTTCCATCAACCAAAGGATTATGGAAGGCTGGAAAGGCAAAAGTCAGGACAAATTCAAAGGAGCTCCTGTTACAGAACACAGACTTGCTGGGCCTGGCCTGAATGTTGAGATTAAAGGTATGCACCACCATGCCGAGTTCTTGGGATGACAGATTTTAATGTATTAATTCCATAGTCCAATCAATTATCTTGACACCTAACAGTGCCTGATACACTGTAGGTACATCACAAATGCCTGTTGTCTCATGTCTTTATTTTATTTTCTTGCTGGGAAACAAACCCAGGTTCTTCCACATGCCAGGCAAGCTGTCTACCACTGAGCTACATCAAAGCTAACTATATATAATCCAAAAGGGTGCTTGCTTGCATATCGACCTCATTTCCTGAGTTGCCTCCATTCAAAGTTAAGACTTAATGCTTGCTATACTTTTAAAAAATGAACTGGGGCTATAGCTCAGTGGTAGAATGGTCGCTTGGCATGGGCAAGACCCTAGATTTGATCCCCAATACCATGAAAAAGAAGAAAAGATGGAGTAGGAAGATGGGGAGGAGGAGGAGGAAAAGGAGGAAGGGGAGA